AGTGAAGAGCCTCCTAGTAATGATGCTGATGTCAACATGAAGAAAGAGTACAAACAACTTGAAAAGAAGGCTCTTGGCATGATTGCAAGAAATCTTAATGATGCCAACTTTTCACATGTAATTACTTGCAATGGACCAACGGAAGCATGAAAGACTCTTTGAAACATCTATGAGAGTAGAAACCTTGTTAATATTCTATGAACAAGGAGGAAGTTCTTAATGATAAAGATGTAAGAAGGAGATGATCTCATGGCTCATATCAATAAGGTAAAAGTACTTGCAAACCAACTAGCAATTATTGACACGTCAATTAATGATAGAGAAATTATGTTGATATTGCTCATGAGCCTTTTCGAGTCCTACAACTACCTCACTGTGGCATTGGAGTCTATCAACATAAAGGAGCTTACCATGAATTATCTCACATCAAAACTTACACATAAAGTAATCAAGAGGAAAAAAAATGAGCTTTAAAGTGATGATTCGACTCTATTCTCAAGATAAGGCAAAGGTAGCTTTCCACATCAATGTGATAATTTAAAAAGAAACATAAGGAATTATTATATTTATAAAAAATCAAGTCATTTTGCTAGAAATTGCTACAAGGCCAAGAGAGGAGATAGGAAAAATGCAAATAATGCTAGTGATAGTTTTGGTAGAGATGATTATGCTTTCATGGGAAGTGAAGGAGTCTCCATGGCTGCCATGTCTAAGTAGATAATAGATTTAGGTGCCACTAAGTACATGACACCATATAAGTGTTCATTTGACACTTATGAAGTAATTTTAGTAAAAAAAGTATGGTTGGAAGATAATGGCATGGTGCAAGCCATTAAAATTGGCTCTATTGTGGTGGAGATTGTGATAAAGGACGAAATCAAGAAGATAAGATTGAAGGAAGACTTACATGTGCCAAAGATAAAGAAGAACCTTCTTTCAATGAGCAAACTTGTATCACATGGTTGTAAAGTTTAATTTGATATGGATGGGTGTTTTGTGAAGATATTGAATAGACAACATGTTGTCCAAGGCCTTAGAAATAGCAACCTCTACTTCATCAATTATAAGAAGGTGAATGGAATTAAAGTGACAACATATGCTAATTTTCCACAAAATCAAGACAAGTTTGGTATTTGGCATCAATGACTTGGTCATTTGAATGCCAAAAGCATGAAAGAGCTCCAATCTATAGTAAGTGGCTTAAATCTTGGTCAATTCAGCAACAATACTATGACACTTGCTTGTGAAGGTTGTATCTAAGGCAAACAATAAAAAGCTTCATTTTCAAGTTTTCTTGCAATACGTGCAAGAAAATTATTGGAGATGGTTTATTTTGATGTTTGTGGACTAATAAAGATACCATTAATTGGAGGAGCAATATACTTTATGACATTTATTGATGATTTCTCAAAAAAGGTGTGGATATACATTATTAAAGTCAAGACTCAGTATTTTTCAAGATTTAGAGAATTCAAGGCACCTGTAGAGAAGCAATGTGAGTGCAAGATGAAAATATTGTGCATGGACAATAGAGATAAATATATATTAAAGAATTTTGATGGATTTTTGAGAAATCAAGGCATTGCAAGATAAACCTCTACTCTTTATATTCCATAATAAAATGGAGTTGCTGAAAGAGCAAATCACACAATTGTGGAGATGGCAAGGAGTATGCTTCATGCACAAAATCTTGGACATAAATATTGGGCAAAAATTGTGGTCAATGCAATGTATAGAAGGAATAAATGTTCAATAAGTGCATTCACATCAATGATTCCATAAGAAGCTTGGAGTGGCAAGAAACCTTATGTTTCACACATAAGGATCTTTGAATATATTGCTTATGTAAAGAAACGAGATTGCATGAGGTCCAAACTTGACACAAAAAGAACAGAATGTGTATTTGTTGGATATTGTGAAGGTACCAAAGCATATAGGCTCATGTCTTTAGAAACCAAGAAAATCATTAAAAGTCATGATGTAGAATTTTTGGAGCATAAAAATGCTTGTGATTACTTGGAGATGTATCCAAGTGAGAGTAATGGTGTGTTTGTGGACATATCTTTAAATCTAGTAATGAAAGAAGAAGAAGATGACGATGATAGTGAAGATGGTGGAATTTCAAATCAAGAGGAAGAATCAAAGAAGATAGATCATGAGGTGCCTACAATTGCTAAAATCAGCAATGAAGACAACCAAAATATTAAAGATGATGATGGTGATGGAGAGTACCAACTTTTAAGAATAAAGAGACAAGTTTTAAGAAAAAAGAAGATTGAAAGAGCTATTGAAGTGTATGAAGGTGAATCTTCATTAAGTGAAAGGAGATATCCTTTAAGAGATCGAAAATAACTTAGTATATGGTGGAAGAACCACATCTTTCCTTAAGTAAGTAAAGAATATGTCAATGTTGCACTCCTTGTTGATCCATTGAGTTTGTGTGATGCAATGAAGTCTATGGATGCTATGAAGTGGGAGAATGCCATAAAAGAAGAATACAAATCAATCTTTAATTGGTTGTAAGTGGGTGTTTAAAACCAAAAGGGATCTAATAGGCAATGTTATAAGATATAAGGCTAGGTTGGTTGCCAAACAATATTCACAAGTTTTTGGAATTGATTTCAATGAGATATTTCCTCCCATGGCCAAATTCACCACCATTAAAACCATTATGGCAATTGGGACAACAATAAACTTGGAGATGCATCAAATAGATGTAAAGACGACTTTCTTGAATGGAAAGTTGGAAGAAGATATTTACATGGATCAATTTCAAGGATTTGTTGAAGATGGCAAATAAGACTTTGTTTGTAAGTTGAAGAAATCCCTGTATGGGCTGCAGTAATTTCCAAGGGCATGGTACCAACGTATTGATACATTTTTTGTGAATTAAGGATTTATAAGGAGTGAAGTTGATTATTCATTGTATTTAATGCAATCAAATGAGTTCATATTGATTGTCATACTCTATGTTAATGATTTGATCATCTCAATCAATACTATAAATATGATGGATTGTTTGAAGTCAAAGTCAGAGAAAGAGTATGAGATGAGTAATTTGGAAGAGCTTCACTATTATTTAAGAATGGACTTTATGAGAGATCATGCTAAGAAGACCATTACAATGAGTCAAAGTAAGTAGATTGAAGAGGTGTTGAAACGATTCAACATGAAGAAGTGTAAGCCTATAGGAACACTTTTAAAAGCCAATTTGAAGTTGATGAAGCTCACAGAAGAAGAGTTTGCTGAAGTTGAAGGAGAAATACAAGGTGTTCCATACAAGGTAATAGTGAGCTCACTAATATATGCAATGGTTGGCACAAAGGTAGATCTTGCATATGCAATGAATGTTGTGAGTCAACACATATTAAAGGTTGGACCAATCCATTGGACAACCATCAAAAGGATCATGAAGTACTTAAAAGATACTTTTAACTTCAAATTATATCTTGGAGGTGATAACATTATTATGCATGGTTATTGTAATGCAAATTGGATTGGAGATGCAAATGATAGAAGATCAACAATGGGATATGTATTCTTTATTGGAGTGGGAGCAATTTCATGGAATTGCAAAAGACAACCAACAATTGCAAGGTCAACAATGGAGGCAAAGTACATGGCAACAAGCTATGGTGCAATGGAGGCAATATGCCTAAGACAACTTTTAGAAGACATTGGATTAGTACAAATAGAAGCAACTCCAATGAAGTGTCATAAACAAGGATGTCTTGCATTTACAAAGAATCCAAAGCATCATTCAAGGACCAAAGATATTGACATTCAACATCACTTTACAAGAGAGAAGATTGAAATGGGAGTGATTAATATGAAGTATTGTGCAATGGAAGACATGTTTGCTGATTTGATGACAAAGGCATTAGTAAAGGATAGACACCACATATTGATAAAGGTATTAGGATTGAAAGGCTTTTGACCAATAGCAAAGTGAGAGTATTGAAATAAAAATGAAAGTAAAATAAGTTACCTTATAGACGATATTACCTTAAATAAGTTGCTAATGGTGTAAGGATTGATTCTTGATATATAAAAAAAGCATCTTATGGATATAGGATGAGATCAAGGACCAAGAGTCAAAATCAAGAGGATAAAGTATAAACTAGAGAATATTCAAAGACTAGATAAGAGTAATTAGTATTTGGCATAGGATACCTTTGTGGTTAGTAAGATGCCAAAGGATCCAAGGACCATAGGATACCCTTGAGGTACGTTAGATACCAAAGGATCCTAGGACCTAGGATCGTGAGTATAAAAGTGAAAGAGTAGAAGTTGTCTTATAGGGCAGCAACCACAAATTATAAGTATTAGATGTTTGAAGTGAAATATATCTTACTCTATACTCTCTTTATATGCAACCTTGCTGATGCTATGTATTGTGCCTTCAAAGTTCTATTTCTTCATATTTTTTCCACTTCATATTCTACATGATTAACTATTTCAATACAAAGTGGTGATGGTTGTATTTTTTTAAAATTAATTGATTCTATATAAGCCTTTGTAAGTTAAAATAAACCTCCACAAGCTAAAAGTTTATTCTAGTTCACAAAAAGTAAATTAACTATATAAATTTTAAAAGTTATAACTATTAATGAAATCCTAATCAATTCATTCATTATTCTTTATAAATAATTTGAGCAATCAAACCAAAATTCTATCACTAATCTACATTTTACTAACCACAAAGGTATCCTATGCCAAATACTAATTACTCTTATCTAGTCTTTGAATATTCTCTAGTTTATACTTTATCCTCTTGATTGTGACTCTTGGTCCTTGATCTCATCCTATATCCATAAGATGCTTTTTTTATATATCAAGAATCAATCACTCAATATTTAATACCATAATAATTTCTTTCTTTTAATTATTCTTTATTTATTTATTTTATATTTACTATCATTATTATTATTATTTAATTTTAATCAAATTTTATCTATTAATTAAAAAATCATCCGTAAATGAAAAGTCATCCTTAAATAATAATTCATCCATAAATTAACTTCATCTAATATATTTTCATCTTTGATTGAAATTCCATCCAGATTGGTTCATCCCAAAAATCCTAATTCAATTTAACCTAAAATTAACTTTTTATTAACCTAAAATCCTTTGTCAACTTGAATTCACCTCACCCTTCTGCTTGGTAACAACCGGTCTGAGGAAGGACCCTTGCCTCCACATGCGCTCCTCGTCCTTGGTTGTGAAATATGCCGTCCTGCCACTTCTACAACCGACGCCCGATATGTAATGATGTCTAATTTACCACTGGAACATACACATCGCAAGAGTCGCAATATTTGAGATGACTCAATGCCTCTAACTCCGCCTCTCGTCCAAATGTAAACCACCTTACACACTGTTGAGCACAGACCCTCCACCACTCACGACCACTGAAGGATGTAAGAAAATTTCTCTGCCCAAGCGATTGTATCGTAATAATCAAATGTGGTGCTAAACACTTCACCGTCAACAATGTCCAGAGCTCAGCATTCCATCATGTTCAAGCAGCAACCTATATTCGAGATACACAGTTGCATCCAACAAGTCGACTATGATTCTGCATGTGAATCTGATTCCAGTACTTCCAGCAGTCCGTCCAGAACCACTCCTATCAAGAATATCCTTCAACCAAAGAAGCCTGGGGTGCTACACACTATTGCCTTCATTCACAAGGTTTCCCAACGAGAGCAGCAGAACCCACACTCAATGAAAGGTGGACTTGAAAATATATCTTCTTTTGAACTACAAGAAGATCCAGATTTTTGGGACGATCTTCATGTTCAGGCCATAGTGCGTACACGCACTGTATTTCAAAAACATGAGCAATGCAGACGAGCCACTACCAACGACACTAACACCACTCTTCGAGTCACCACCACTCGCGGCTTGGTACTAAACACGAAAAGTATCCTGCTGGTCAAAGTCTTGCTTGAAGGTCAATCTTTCACTTCCCAGTACCATGACACAACCTACATTACTCCAGAACGATCAATCGCAAATAAATCGGGACAGCTTTCTCGATGTTCAGAGCGAGCAACGCTTCAGACTGCTACTCCACGATGCCGCACTTAGGTAACAACAATTTCAACGTTGTCCAATCGCCAACCGTCACTAGCCAATGTTGCGCCACACACTTCAAGACGTCGAAAGCGATGATAACACCAAGATCCTCCTAGAATCCACCGCTCTTTACAGCCACAACACATGTCCGCCTTACACAGCACTGCAAGAGTCCACCAGCTTGAATCTCAGGAATGGAAACCAGCCAACAAAGGGAATAATGATAGAAAAAATAGATCACTCCACTTGTAGAACCTTTAGAGCAAGTGCGAGATCATGAGCCTGCGACACCATCGCTGTAGGAAACAACACACCGGAAGAAAACTCTCTCAGAGTTGGAGCCCCGGGCGCCTTATAAAAAAATCAGACACACAGAGAACAAAAATCCGTTGCAGTCCAAGCTTCCACGTTAACTAGCCAACTGCTTCTACCCTCCAAGCTCTATACACCGCACGCTTTTCCTTCACCCTAAGAGAAGAACTAAGAACACAACGCCTAGTCGATTACTTGGAGCACTGCTAGCAAAAAACAACGCTCCTTCCTGCGCCAACACTCTTTTGCCAAATGACGCCAAACCTTGACGTCGTGCGCTGATCACAAAAGAAGGTTCTGCCACAACACACCGCGACAAATCACATCAGCCCCCTCGATCTTGGCTGCGCCACTGTCACCGAAACCAGCAACCGCATAGGGGAGTACCAAAATAGAAAAAAATAGATCTGATAGCAACTCTGATCCTTCTTCCGCAGCGCCGCAGCCACACACTAGTGAAAAAAAACCAGAAGAAAAAACAAAAAAAATGTCCACACCCTCGGAGCCGCACTCTGCCAAATACAAAAAAAGAGAAAAAAGAATCAAAGGTGATCCAAACCCCTATCGACGAGGAGATTGCCGCCATTCAGGGGCAGCCTTCTTAATCAACATTCTATTTTTATTCTATTATTATTATTATTATCTTTTTCTTTCTTTTCTTTTCCTTTGTCCTTCTTTTCTTCTTTTGTCCTGCTTCTTTCTCTTCTCCTCTTTCTTTTCTTTTCCTTTGTCCTTCTTTTCTTCTTTTGTCCTGCTTCTTTCTCTTCTCCTCTTTCTTTTTCTTCTTTCTCATTCTTCCTTCTTTTCTTCTCTTTTCTATTCTTTTTTTTTATTCCTTTAATCTTTTTTTAATAACATATATATACATCATCTAATATTACATACAAAAAACATCTCCAACATAGAAATTTGGCTTAACAAATTCTACCTTAGATTATATATCCACTATTAACAATCTATTTTTTATTTTTCCTAAAAATTCTACTATTAATTCACAAAATATGTGATTTTAAGCCACATAAGTGTATTTTTTATACTAAATATTAAAATGAATTAATTTAGTAACTTATTGCCTCTAAGAGAGAAATTGTCATGGACATACTCATGTAAGCTAGTAATTACATATACAAATAGGTGGAAGTAAGTAAAAGTAAGTAAAAGTAAGTTAATTCTATAGTATTTAATATGGAAGCTTTTTAGAAGCTTCATAGACGCTACTTTGACTTCATAGGTGTCTTTAATTAACTTTTTGGATTAGAAACGTAGTCAACAACTGGCCATGTGCCACACATGTTGTTAGTTTGAAGATCAAGTTAATTATGTGGCCCACATATAGAAAAACTTGCCTTGTAAGTCAAGGCATGTGTCCTACAAAGTCAATACATATTGGGGGTCCTATAGAATGTTGCCACGTAGCCCCTAAATAGATAGTATATATAGAGACAAGAATGAAGCCCTCTTCACTCTTGTCAACTCCTTTCTTGCTTCTAGTCTAGTTTCAAGGGTCTCTAGTTTTCTTCTCTTTTGGCAATAGCTATTCCAGTTTTTTCAATATACATACTTGTTTATTTATATTTTGTTACCTTTCTTTGAAAGAAGGCTCACTTGTTTGAATTTCTTTTTTATCGAGTTCTTGTCCTTGACAGATTGACAAGAGTACACCTACAATATCAAAGCTTTGTCTAATCTTGATTAAGAGTGGGTTACCTCTTTTTCTTCATAAGATATAAGCATATTAGAAGTTGTGGATTACCCTCTTCTAAACTGATATTATCCTTAGTATTTTCTTTATTCTCAAGTCCTCTCTTCTATTTGTCTTGAGCGATATTAGACATCTTCTCTTTTTTAAGTGTTATCAGGGCAGAACTTGTTGAAATAAAGAATGCAATGGCACAAATACAAGAGCAATTGAGAGAGTTAATGCTTGTGATGCATCAACTCAATTTACCACCACAAGGAGCAACAAGATTGGCAGGAAGTGAAGATATAGAAATGGTTAGAGCTGCTTCAACATCTACACCAAATCATATCCTTTTTCCTATGGTGGAACACCCTTTAAATGTTACAGAACCAAGAATTGTCCTACCCGAGAAGTTTGATGGCACCAGATCCAAGTTTCGAGGATTTATCAATCAAGTGCAACTTGTGATTGAACTTCAACTCCAAAACTATCTAATTCTGGGATCACAAGTTAGATTCATTGGTACGATTCTTTCAGGTTCAACACTATGGTGATTTTCATCTTTTCTTGAATGACAAGATCCAATATTAGATAATCTAGAAGCTTTTCTAGTAGAGTTTTGATCCATGTATGGAGAACATGATGCAATTCGTATTGCAACCAATAAGATCCATATTTTACGATAAGATAATCGATCAGTAACGTTGTACGCTTCACAATTTTGACAACTTGCAACTCATATCAAGTGGGATGATGCTGCACTTATTAGCCAATTTCTCTATGGATTACAATATGAGGTAAAAAAATTAATGCTCAACTTACCTAATCTTCACACATTGAGTCAAGCAATTGACTTTGCTGTGAAGTGCGACAATCACCTTTTTGAATTTCGATCTGAGAACCGACCTCAACGTTACTATAATTCAATGGCAACACCAACACCTCTTCAACATATACATTTGGAAGTAGAGGATATGCAAATTGATACAGTACGTTTCAAACCTCTTATTGAGCAAGAAAAGACTCCTCATCGTCAAGAAGGATTATGTTTATATTGTGGAGAACCAAAGCACATTGCTCAACATTGTCCAAAGAAACAACGTAATCACAAAATGAGGAGTATGGCTGTGAAAGAAGATAATATGTCGAAAAATGAGTTTGTCTAGCTACAATAAGAACCGTGCGACTGGAACCTTGCACAACATCTAGTAAAGGTCCTAATCTCTCCTCAGAGCCCTCTCCTTATTTTACATTAAATGTTATTTTAGGACCTAAATATTACAAAGCCTCTGTCTTGTTAGATTCAAGAGCCTCGGCGTGTTTCTTAGATTAAGAATTTACTAAAAGACATAGCATATCTTTAGTAAAGAAAACTAAACCTGTTCATGTAGAAGTCATAGATGGTCGTCCATTCTCTTCTGGGGATATTACTCACGAAACCCTTCCTATATAAGTAATAATCAATGGTCATAATAGCTTTGTAGTATTTAATATCATTAGATCTCCCTCTAATCTAGTCAGTTTAGGTTTATCATGGTTAGAAAAATACAACCCTCAAATAGATTGGATTTTCCGAACTCTTACTTTCTCTAAAAGTATAACTAACAATATAGTTAATCAAGTAGAGAGTCATAAGTCCAGTTCAATTAAACCCGTATTTATAGGTGCAAAAGCTTTCTTGCATGTTGCTATAAAAGAATCACCATATATTATTTATGCCACACTTGTTTCTACTGGTGGAAAGACTTCAAGTGGCATTCCAAGCCAATATCAAGAATTTCAAGATGTATTCGAAAAAAAGAATGTGGATACACTCCCGGAACATCATCCCTATGATTACTCAATTGATCTTCAAGAAGGAGCACAACCAACATTCGGACCAATCTACAAATTATCACAAAATGAGTTGATTAAACTCAAGGAGTATATTGAAGAAAATCTAGCCAAGAATTTCATATGCCATTCTAAATCTTCGACAGGAGCTCCGAATCTATTTGTGAAGAAAAAAGATGGATCATTGCGGATGTGTATTGATTATCAAGGACTCAACAAGATTACTATCAAGAACAGGTATCCACTACCTTTAATATCTGGACTTCTTGATCACCTGAATCAAGCTAAGATCTATACAAAAATAGATCTCTGAGGAGCATACAATCTAGTATGCATCAAAGAAAGAGATGAATGGAAGACTGCGTTTTGAACTTGGTATGGACATTTTGAATACAACGTCATGCCTTTTGGACTTATAAATGCACCAACAGCTTTTCAACATCTAATGAATGATATTTTTTGAGAGTTTTTGGACGATTTTGTGATTTGTTATTTAGACGACAACTTGATCTATTCTAAGAATTTAGAAGAACATGAACTTCATGTTCGTCGTGTGTTACAAAAATTAAGAGATGCAAGATTCTATGCCAAGATAAAAAAGTGTGTATTCCACACTACTCAAGTCGATTTCTTAGGTTACATCATTTCAAATAATGGACTTATGATGGATCCTAAGAAAGTTCAAACTATTATAGATTGGAAGATCCCAAAAATGGTAAGAGATGTCTAATGTTTTTTGGGATTTGCCAACTACTATCGGATCTTCATCAAGGACTTCTCTCGAGTTGTAGTTCCACTTATATGTTTGACTTGTAAAGACAAACTCCAATGGAATCAAGAAGCGGAAGTTGTTTTTGAATCTTTGAAGACAGCGTTTGTTTTTGTACCAATCTTGTATCGTGTTGATTTTTCCAAAGCATTCTTTATGGAAATAGATGCATTAGACTTTGCTCTAGGTGCGGTTTTATTATAAATGGCAACAGATGACAATCTTCATCCAGTAGCCTTTCATTCAAAAAAATTCTCAGTAGCAGAAATCAATTATGAAATCCACGACAAAAAACTTCTTGCAATCATGGATTCTTTTCAAGAATGGCGTCATTATCTAGAAGACGCTTTCAATCTAGTCACCGTGTATATGGATCACAAGAACCTCGAGTATTTTATGTCAGCACGCATATTAAATCATCATCAAGCTCGTTGAAGCATGTCTTTATCAAGATTCGAGTTCATCATCACTTATCGGCCAGAAAAACAATAAGGTTTGTTTGATGTCTTGTCTAGACATTCTTATCTTGTACCAAAAGAAAGAGATGCAGCTTTTGAGTAACAAAGAATGGTTCTCTTGAAGCTAGAGCAATTTCATCTTTGAGCAATAAAATCAACATTGACTGTTGATTTAACTTTTCTTAAGAAAATCTACTTAAGTATGTCTTCAGACCCTCTTGTTTATGATATCAAGAATAATTCTTTTAAATCTCATGATCCCTCTAAATTTGAATTCAAGAACAACCTATTCTATTTCGAAGGATGCCTATATGTTCCAAAAGGAGAAGCACGTTTATATATTCTTCAAGCTTGTCACGACTTTTTAGCATCAGGACATTTTGGACATAATAAGACTTTGGAGCTAATATCTAGGGATTTTTGGTGGCCTCAAATGTGGAAGGAAGTCAAAGATTTTGTACAATCATATAATGTTTGCTCAAGATCAAAAACTCCTTGTCATCGACTTTTTGGACTTCTTCAACCATTACCCATTCTAGAACAACTATGGTCTTATATTTCTATGGACTTCATTACGGATCTTCCAATCTCAGGTTCTTATGACTCTATATTTGTGATAATAGATCGTTTTATCAAGATGGCACATTTTGTACCATGTACAAAATCTATCACAGGTGAAGAAATAGCTAAGCTCTTTTTTGACAGTATCTATCATTATCATTGATTACCCAAGGATATTTTATCAGATAAGAGAATTCAATTTGTATCAAGAT